GGGCAGTTCCAGGTAACGAGGCTTTAGGTCGCCCCTCAGGAGACCTATTTCCCCTTTTCTAGTGTGTATGTGTGTGTGTGTGTGTGTGTCCATGTCCCCGCTGCCTTTGTGCTGAGTTTAGGAAATGTGTGTGTGTGTATGATCATACACGTGTGTCCACCGCCTTAGTGCTGAGTTTAGAAAGTGTGTGTGTGTGTGTATGCTCATACCTGTGTGTCTGCCACCTTTTTGCTGAGTTTAGGACATGTGTATGTGTTTGTGTGCTCCCACACATGTCCACTGCCTTCGTGCTGAGTTTAGGAAATGCTCCCGCCATTAAGTCAAATGAGACATCCACATGGAAGGATGAATGTGGTGTTCTGTTGGTTGAAAAACACAAGTCACTTTTAAACACTTACCTATTGGATGGTCCCATTTCTGTTTTCAGAATTGATGCCCGTGCCTGTAGGTATGTGTGTCCACAGGTGTGTATAATATGGCCCCCCATGGAGAGGGAGGATAGGCATTGGTCAAGAGCTTGCACTTAGATTTGGGCTCTGTTACTTACTACTCAGTTTCTTCTCTGGGTTGGAGAGGAGAAGGATGAAGGTGTCTGTGAAGAGGAAAGACCGTGGCGCATGGCAACACCACACACAGTGCCGTGTCAAGTCTTCACTGTGTGTTGGATGCCTGCTAAATATGGAAGGAAGAGAATTGGGGAGGGGACATTTCACTCCCTTTTACTTTTCTGTACTGCTTGAAAATTTGTCAGCAACCACATGTGACATGTATACCATAGACTGTGTTAGTTTACTAGCGCTGCCATAAATGACCACAAACCAGGGGGCTGACAACAGCAGAAATTGAGTCTCTCCAGTTCTGGAGGTCACAAGTCTCAAATCAGAGCGTCGGCCGGGCAGTGCCGCCTTCAAGCTCCAGGGTAGGATCCCTCCTCGCTTCTTCCAGCTGCTGGTGGCCCCATCACTGCAGTCTCTGCTTCTGTGTTCCCACGGCCATCTCTCTCTTCTTCTTACAGAGATATAAGTCATTGGATTTAGGGGCCACCCCAAGTCCAAGATTATTTTATCTTGAAACCTTTAGCTTATTATATTTGCGAAGACCCTATTTCAAGTAAGGCCACATACTGAGGTTCTGGATGGGCATGAATTTGTGGGGGGCACTACTTATCCTACTACATAGATAAAAAGCTGCAGCTGAAATCTGCAGACCCCTCCTCAATTCTACAAAGTGGGAATTGGTGTCAGCTTTTCCTTCTCCTGCAGAGGCACCTGTCTTGTGCCTGACACTTTGGCTCTCATTCATTCATTTCTGCTGCTGTCGCTCCTTTACCCAGAAGGTAGCATCCTCCCAAGTTCCAAGTCAGTTGGAGGTGGCAGGCCCAGTGCCGCTGGGCACCTTGGACAAGTCAGTCAAATCTGAGAGTCTTGGTTTCCTCATCTGTAAAATGCAGTCCATCCTAGTACCCACTGTATAGGACTATTGTTAGATCAAAGATGACCATGCCTATTAGGCCCTTTGCACAATGCCTGGCACAGAGCAGGCACTCCATAGATACTTATTAGAGCTGCCATTTCTTCAAAAACCATATGGGCCAGACGTGGTGGCTCATGCCTGTAATCCCAGCACTTTGAGAGGCCAAGGTGGGCGGATCGCTTGAGGTCAAAAGTTTGAAACCATCCTGGCCAACATGGTGAAACCCCTCTCCACTAAAAATACAAAAAGATTTGCCAGGTATGGTGGCAGGTGCCTGTAATCCCAGCTACTTAAGAGGCTGAGGCAGGAGAATCGCTTGAACCTGGAAGGCGGAGGTTGCAGTGAGCTGAGATCATGCCACTGCACTCCAGCCTGGGCGACAAGAGCGACTCCATCTCAAAAAAAAAAAAAAATCTTAGAGATGTTTTCCATTTTATTATGAAAACTCAAACATAGAACAGTTAAAAGACTTGTATGCTAGACACACAAGATTCCCACCACCCAGACGCTACCGTTTACATTTGGCTGCCTTTGCTTTGTCTTTGTTCTCTGTCCATCTGTCTGTCCATGCCTCCACCTTTTGAGAGGGAGTCTTGCTCTGTCACCCAGGCTGGAGTGCAGTGGTGCAATCATGGGTCACTGCAACCTCCACCTCCCAGGTTCCAGTGATTCTCCTGCCTCAGCCTCCCAAGTAGCTGGGATTATAGGCACACACTGCCACACCCAGCCAATTTTTGTATTTTTAGTAGAGATGATGTTTCACCATGTTGGTCAGACTGGTCTTGAACTCCTCACCTCAAGTGATCTGCCCACCTTGGCCTCCCAAAGTGCTGGATTACAGGCATGAGCCACTGCACCCAGCCTAACGCATCCATGTTCTTTCTTGATGCACTTCACAGTAAATGGTGGACATCGACTTGTGCTCGTCATTAACGAGTTCAGCATTACAGAGGCGATTATAATGACATCAGACATGAGGCAGGGGAGAGATACCCATGCAGGTGGACCTGGGTGAAGTTGGAAGCGAAGATTCCCTTTCCCTGCTGCTTTGGAGTCTGGAAACTTCAGGGTGTGGCCTGCCATCCCACAGGGCAGGCTGAGCTGCTGCAGGCCACTCATCCTCAACTGGCCCTAGCTGGTGCCTCAAACATTGTGGATGCTGCATCGTTGTTGTTTTTATTTATTTCTTTTTTTGGGACAGTCTCGCTCTGTCACCCAGGCTGGAGTGCAGTGGCATGATCTCGGCTCACTGCAACCTCTGCCTCCTGAGTTCAAGTGATTCTCCTCTCTCAGCCTTCCTAGTAGCTGGAATTACAGGCATGCACCACCATGCCTGGCTAATTTTTATATTTGTAGTAGATACAGGGTTTCACCATATTGGCCAGGCTGGTCTCAAACTCTTGACCTCAAATGATCCACTCTGCCAAAGTGCTGGGATTATAGGCATGAGTCACTTTGCCTGGCCGCAGTGGCACTGTTGTTGAAGCTGCGTTGTTTGAGGCTGCATTGTTGTTAGGCTGCATTGTTGAGGCTGCACTGTTGTTGAGGGTGCACTGAGGTTGCATTGTTGAAGCTGCATTGTTGAGGCTGCATTGTTGAGGGTGCATTGAGGTTGCATTGTTGTTAGGCTGCATTGTTGAGGCTGCACTGTTGAGGGTGCACTGAGGTTGCATTGTTGAAGCTGCATTGTTGAGGCTGTATTGTTGAGGCTGCACTGTTGAGCATATACTGAGGCTGCATTGAGGTTGCATTGTTGAGGCTGCATTGTTGAAGCTGCATTGTTGAGGCTGCATTGTTGAGGCTGTATTGTTGAGGCTGCACTGTTGAGAGTATACTGAGGCTGCATTGTTGAGGCTGCATTGTTGAGAGTGCATTGAGGTTGCATTGTTGAGGCTGCACTGTTGAGGGTATACTGAGGCTGTATTGTTGAGGCTGCACTGTTGAGAGTATACTGAGGCTGCATTGTTGAGGCTGCATTGTTGAGGCTGCACTGTTGAGAGTATACTGAGGCTGCATTGTTGAGGCTGCACTGTTGTTGAGGGTATACTGAGGCCGCATTGTTGATGAGGCTGCATTGCTGTTGAGGCTGCATTGTTGTGTTGGCCAGAAGTGGTGGGGGCTGTAACAGGCAGTGACCCAGCCTCTCTCCCCCATTCTTCCACAGCTGGAGCCAGACGGACTGCTGGTGTGGGTCCTGGCGGGTGCTCTGGGGCTCAGCCTCGTCTTCTCCCTGGTCTCAGTCCCACTGCAGTGCTTCAGGCTCAGCAGAGTCTACGGCTTCTGTCTGCTCCTCTTCTACCTGAACTTCCTTGTTGTGGCCCTCCTCACTGAATTTGGAGTGATTCACCTGAAAAGCATGTGATTGAAGCCTTAGTGCTGTGGCCTCACTGCAGGCGAGAGCCCCGCCCTCCTGCCAGGGGAGGCATGGGACCAGAGCATTTCTGAAGGGCTCCTGTGGGCACAAGTGCGCAGCCCTTGCTGCTGGATATCTGAGGTCACTGCTGTGAGCTGAGAGAACTGCTCTGTCCCTCTCGCTGCCAGCACCCAACAGCCTTGCCGTGGGGACTGGAAACCAGGCTTTGCTCTGGATAAGGGGTTCCAGAGAGAAGCTAGAAGCCCCCTTGAATGACCCCCAGAACCCCTCTGAGAAGGGCTAGAGTTTGGGGAAGATCGGCTGGGTGTGTTCCAGGCCATGCTGGAGGCACCTGGGCACAGGCGCTGCCCATTCCCCTTGCCTGAGCTTCAGGCCTACTAGCACCTTCTCAGGGCACAAGTGGCTGCCCGGCCCTCAGAGAATGAGGGTGGCTCAGACACCTAGGAATCAAGTCACTGAGGGCTGAGCTCCAGAGCTGCACTGTCTGCCAGAAACAGAATTCAAGACATACTTAATTTTGAATTTCTCCTTGCCATGTTTATAAAGCCAAAAGCAGCGGATGCCATTCGTGGCGATGCATTTCACTGAACCACTTGCTCCAAAAATGCCGTCAGCCCAAGGCACTGCTATGCCCACAGCTGCCACATGGGATGGAGGTCAGACGCTTCCTCTAGGATTCTGCCCCTGGCTGCCCACAACTCCTTTGTGCTGGAACCTTTGCTTCTCCAGCTGCCAAGCAGGAATCCATAGGACTGTGCCTGTGCCTCCCTCGGGGGAGTCCCTGAGCAGGCTCCAAGGCCTGTGAGCTGGGGAAGGACAGATGGGGAGCCCTCGTGCCTTCCTGCTGTCACGCAGTGACCCCGCCTTATGTTGCTGAAATAAGCAGTTCTTAGGTTTGCAACTGCCTTATGCTGGGAAAGAAAAAAATAAAACTTTTTTTCAAATAAAAAAATAATTAAAAATTTCAAATGTAGAGAAAATGATACACCCAACTTTTACCAGTTCTTCTTCACCCGGGGCCACTGGTGAGTGGCTGATCCCAGGGCAGGGCTCAGGGCGGGGCTGAGGCGGGATCCGGAATGGCCATGGCCTTGGATGGAGCCACTCTCTGCACAATACCCGAAGCCATGGAAGTCAAGAGGCAGCAGCCACGTTTACAAAGCAGAGGCTCTTTTATTAATATGCCAGAAATCCAGAGACACTGGGTTTTCTAGGTAACAAATCACTAATGTACAAAACCGTACAGCATTGCTCCCATGATCCGTACAAAATGATTGTCCGCATGGTGGAGTAAGGCTGGGGCTGTGCGAGGGGAAGCAAGGAGCTGGGGAGGGCACAGTGCCATTGCTGCCACCGCCAGGCTGAGGCCCCAGCGCCATGAGTGTCATTTGGGTGCGCTCAACTGTGACATCAGGGATGAGAGGGCATCTAAGCTAGATCACATCCCAGGGCCCTCAGAGCTCACGGTCTGTGGGAGACCCCCGCTCCCTGCTTGTGGGGGGCCAGGGGTAACCCGGGGATAGCTGTCCCTAGCCTCAATGACAAGGCCACCAACCCTGGCTGGACTCTGGCCTGTTGACACTGCTACCATTGGGTATTTGTCGGGTCCTGGCCAAAACCAGGTCCTTTCTCAGGACAGGGTTGGGAGGATGGATGCACTAACTTGCTCTGAACAGGGCAGAGATGCCACTCCTCCTGGAATAGACCCTCCCACCTGGGGGTCTCAACTCCCCTGGGCGGACCCCAGGGTGCTGCTAGCCCCTCCAGGTTTCTACCCCTGGGACAGAAGGGCCCAAGCCTGAGGCCCAGATGCTAAGGTCAGAGACTCACACCTTTAGAAGCTGTCCCCTGACCCTTGCTTCCAAAATGCCCATTTCAACACACAAAAGCTAAAAGGCACCCAATTGTTCAATAAAGTTCCCTCTCTGCGAAAGGGAGGGGTTCTGGCCTGGGGCTCAATGTGGAGCTCCCGGTGATGGCCCATGGCCCTCCAGAGAGGAAGAGGACAAAGCCAGTCTGACTCCCAGAGGAATCACAGTGATTCTCAATGATTCGCTGTTTTCCCATAGGGCTGTGCTTTAAAAACAAACACCAACCACTGGACTAACTCCGTGAAGGGGAGAACCAGACCGTGTTGGCTATGGGACCTGGCTTGGTCTTGGAGGTGGTAGGGAGCAGGGGTTGGGGGACCAGGCACTGCTCCCTGGGGTCAGACCCCACCCTGCCCATTTTGTGGCTGGGAAAAGAACGAGGCCAGAGGGAGCCTGCATCCACCTGTGGCCCAGAACACCCCACAGTGCACGCGTGTCCCTCCCCTGCACCCTCCATCCTGCTGCTGCGGCTCCTGCTGTGGAACCTGTGCTGTGCTCCAGGGAAGCAGAACCAAAGCGGCCTCTGCACTGACTCTGCCTCTGTGGCCACCACCTGTCACCGCAGCTGGCAACCCTCCTACCTCCACCATGCTCGGATGTCCTACAGAGCTCCCAAAAGGTGCCGTGGCAGGGAGGAGTGGTGGATGTTAACAGAGTTCATCCAAACCTACTTCTGCACCAACCACTCCTGCTACGGAAATCTCTGGGGTGAGCAGAGGCAGGGAGGGAGGCAGCTGGGAGCTGGGCCGGGGCCATGGAGCTGCTGCGTCCCACAGGGAGCATCTCTGCTGGTCGCTCCCATTTCTAGTGCACATGTGTGAAGGACCTGCTACCAGCTTTAGCACAGTCCTTGATGCACCAAAATGTCGTTTTGCTTGAATGGGTAAATCGCAAAAGGGATTTGGTCAAGAGAGCCCATTCCAGGAAGCTGACTGGCTTACAGGCGTCAGCCCCACCTTCTGCCTCATGCCCCTTCCTCTGGGGTCTGCATCCCTCAGGCCACTGTGGAAGGATTTTCGCCAACAAGGGTTAAGCCAGAGAAGACTGGGAGAGGGTTAGCCTGTAGAGCCGAGGGAGGAGATCACTCAGTGTAACCTGCTGCCGCCTGGCACTGGCTAGCTGAGCTTTGGCCACAGGGGCAAAATCACCCCAGTTCCTCTTTCCATTAGGTCCTGGGCACTGGTCCTCGAAGAAGCGTTCCATGACATTATCATATACATTGAAATACTACCCTGGAGACTGGGGGTTCTTTCCTTCCTAAGTGGTTCTGTCCCTAAAGACACAGGAACCTGTGGCATGGGCTGCAGGCAGCAGGGGCAGGGGCAGGGATGCCATCAGGTCGGAGAGACGTGAGCCTGAAACAGCAGCACTGACAGCTTTGGACATGGCCGATGGAGTCTGGCCCATGTGGGAGGCAAGCCCCGCAGAGTCAACTGAGGGGTGAGGGGTCTCCTTGGGAAGGGGGTTCTGGAGCCTTCCACAGCAGGAACAGCTCAGACCTAGAGGCCGCACCCCACCCCTCACCAAACTGGCTTGTGGAGTTAAGGAAAACAGGGCAAGGTGGTTATAAACCAAGCCCCCTCTCGTCTGTCTGCTTTCTTCCTCTGTATAAATATTTGCATATACATGAGTATGTGTACACACGCCGCAGTTCTGGACGTCGAAGTAGAGTAATACGATTGTGTTATTGCATAGAAGAGACGGCTTTCGGGTGCTGGGCTAGGTGACGGTCTGGGAGCGCTGCCGGCTGCCTGGGGGCTGCTGGGTGGCGGACGCTGCGCTGCTGCTGAGCTGTCGCTGTTGCTCCTGCTCCCTGGCATGCTCCTCATACCACTCCTGGAGCAGAGAGCAGAGGGGGCACTGAGGTCTGCACCCCACCCCCTGCCCCACCCACCCCACAAGGTCATCGAGCTGCAGGGTCACACAGCCAACAGCATCCAGGCTGGAGGGGGCAGGGCTGCCAGCCTCATCCAGCTGGTACTGAAACTCCCCCATCACAGGCTCAGAAATGCTGAGAATTTTGAATATGGCCCCAGAAGCAAAAATGACAATGAAATCTTCCCCTAGTGTCTGCAGGCTGGTGCATCACAGCTCTCTAACAGGCCCAGGCAGGAACAACCCTCGTCTCTTGTTTATGAGCATAACCTTTTGTCCTTCACGAAAGGGTCCCCCTGGGTGACCCCTTTTAAGCTTGGCAGGAACTGGGTCCCTGTTTCACACCTGAGACATCAAGGCTCAGAACTGCATCGTGCTGAATGCCTCACCTAACCTTCGCCCTCCAACAGGAATGTGAAGGCATTCTGGAAATGTCAAACAGTCTACCCATCTAAGGCCATGATTATAACCTCTGGCTTCTACTTTAAGAAAAGGCAGGCCAGGCACAGTGGCTTACATCTGTAATCCCAGTACTTTGCGAGGTCAAGGCAGGCGGATCACTTGATATCAGGAGTTTGAGACCAGCCTGGCCAACATAGCAAAATCCTGTCTCTACTAAAAATGCAAAATTTAGCCGGGCGTGGTTCTGTGCACCTGTAATCCCCGCTACTCAGGAGGCTGAGGCAGAAGAATCGCTTGAACCCAGGAGGCAGAGGTTGCAGTGAACTGAGATCACACCACTGCACTCCAGCCTGGGAGACAGTGACTCTATCTCAAAACAAACTGCCACCAAGCAGCTTGAGCACAGTGAGGCTTTCTTCCTATTGGGCAACCTCGCTGGAACTGGGAAGAGGCCGGCCCCTTTGGACAGGACATCCTTGCCAGTTCACAACTGTCTCTGCTCTTTCCTTTATGCTCGCTATGTTTCTTGCTACACAAGTTTGAGTTTGCAGCTCGGACTTAGAAAAGGGATGGAGAGGTTCTGGAGAATTCCTAAGGGGCAGGGACATGGCAGCAGGCAGATGGGAGAGCTGCCTCTACTGTGAGCCAGTCCAGGGTTCAAGGCTGAGTGGCCCTGCCCAGGTCCCACACAACCCCAGCAGTGGTCCCGATGGATGAGCCACATCTCTCCACCAGCCTTCCTCCTCTACTCAGAGGCCCGGAGAGCAGCTCCCTGCCCCTTCCAGGACGAAGCTGGGGAAGGACTCACAGCACAGTCAGCCATGCTCCTACCTGGATCTCTTCCTGGTACATCTTCAGGCTCAGGTCGCTCTTGGTCCTTGATCGCCGTCCCAGAAACACCATGGAATGTTGCTAAGGAAGACCAGAGGCTGCAGGGCTCAGCTGCAGATGCTCAGGACCCACCCCTGGTGCCACAGTTGGCCTCTCCCACTTCTCTGGCTTTTGCAACTGTGTCACTCAAGATGTTACCAGCATCTGAGGGGAGGGATTACAGCACGCTCCCACCTCCCTCCTTTAGACTGGGGCCTGGCCTTCTCACCTGGTATCTCTCCATCTGGGAGAGGGTCTCCAGCAGCCGGGTGACGTCAGAGGAGGCGCCCCGTGCCTCCCGGTAGAGCTCCAGGACAGCAACCAGCTCTTCTTTGGAGATTTCCTTCTCAAGGGTGATGCCACCATCCACTGCAGGGAGGGAGGGCGGGTTGTGGGAAGGCCCTGGGGCTGAAGCTGCCAACCTGGCTGGGTCTCGTTCAACTATCCTCCTTGCGCCCCTCCGCAGGGTGTCTTAAGTTTCCCTCTCTAGGCCGACACTGCACTGGTGTCCTGTTCTCTGACTCGGCCCTCTTCCCTTCCCCTCCCTCTGCTGTGACGTCAGGAGCGCAGGTCTAGCCGGCAGCTTACAGGACCACAGGGCTTCAGGAAGGAGCCTCCAAGCAAAGAAAATGGCAAGATGGTCTGATACCACAGAGATCTGAGGAGGAGTATAACAGGCGTGGGCACAGGGTTTTCTGTTTAGGAGACAGGATCTCAGGCTGGGCGTGGTGGCCAATCCCAGCACTTGGGAGGCCGAGGCGGGCGGATCATGAGGTCAGAGTTTGAGACCAGCCTGGTTAACATGGCAAAAACCCATTCTACTAAAAACACAAGAATCAGCCATGGTGGCGGGTGCCTGTAATCCCAGCTACTCGGGAGGCTGAGGCAGGAGAATCACTTGAACCCGGGAGGCGGAGGGTGCAATTAGCTGAGATCACGCCATTGCTCATCAGCCTGGGAGATAGAGGGAGACTCCATCTCAAAAAAAAGAAGACGAGACAGGGTCTCACTCTGCCCGGGCTGGAGTGCAATGGTGTGATCATGGTTCGCTGCAGCCTTGACCTCCTGAGTTCGAGTGATCCAGTGGGGACAGTTTTGATGGAGAATTTGGGAAGAGGGGAGGATCAGTACACAGAAAACTGCAATCTGGGAGGAGTGAGGCAGTCGCTAAAGTCGGCACCATCCAGCTGCAGCAGGAATACAGTTTGCCGGTGCCGTGAACAATATTCACACCATTTAAATCAAGAACCATAGTGTGAGCCTATTACTGAGAAACGTGGAGACGACTAAAAGCAGAAATAGCTCAGAGGGAGACGCCTCTGGAGGATGGGAAGGGAAGGGCAGGACACGGGCTGCAGCCACCACATCGCCTTTCTCTACCACTTGATTCTTCTCCTACTATGACATCACTGTTTTTAAAGTTAGACCGACCGTGTTTTCTGACATTAACTATTTGAAAATCAATGCAAATACCTAGAAAGACAAGCCAGACAGATAAGCTGGACAACCAGACAGCCGAAAAAGGACAGCCTGATGGCTGGCTAGAAGGCCACCCAGATAGATAGCTGGGTGGGCGGCAGACAAACGCCCAAGGTGTCATGCTGGCACAGACCTTCTGAGTCCTGGTTCTTGCGGCTGTAGTTCATTCGGAAGACGAAGGCCTCGAGGATGAAGGCGACAATGATCGTCATCACCACCTGGCCAGGGATAGGGAGGGAGGGGCAGAGACAGGGGAGGACGGCGGGTGGGTGTCTGTGGCTGCATGGCCCACCCCCAACAGAGCCCGGCCAGATGCGACCCAGCCCCACTCCCTGATGCTGCAGCCTGAGGAGTAGGAACAGCTGGTGACATGGAAGACGAAGGGCAAAGAGTGTTCTGGGGCCTGGGACATACCATGGTCACGATGTAAAAGGTCATGAAGTAGAGGCGGCTCCAGTGGGAGGTCTGAGAGGTGACACCTTCCTGGAGACCAATGGAGCCGCCAGTGAGGGGACCCATGCCAGCAGGGCAGGTCCCTGTCTGCACAGGCTGCCCCATGGCCCTGGCCTGGAGCCAGGCTCCCCAGCTCTTCACAGACCCCACCCTGATTTGTGGCTGGTTGTGAGAGACGGAGGAGAGGGAGCTCGCCCCTCTGGGTCTAACACTAATTCCTAATTTTTGACTGCTGAAGAAGCCCCAACTGCTCCCCTGGACAGCTGGATCCAGAACCATGGCAGCCTTCATCCCAGTAGGGCTGGGAGTTGGGAGAGTTTAAGGAATGGAATAGAGAGCGGCAATGACCCCTGTATCGTCGCTAGAGGGAGAAGTCATCTCTACAGTGGGGTAGATGGGACAGAGACCCAGAGTCTAAGTGGCATCTCCTGGCTGCTGGGAACATGCACAGAGATGGGAGTGGCAGCCAAGTCTGCCAAAGCTGGGAGGGTGGCTGCTGGGGTCCAGCCATACTGTGGCCTCCCCACAGAACACCAACGCAGCATGACTGAAGACCCCCAGCCCTGCAGGGTACAGGAAGAACGATATACCCTGGGTGAGGGGAGACCCAGGGCTGGCGGGAGGACACCCCCAAAGCTGCCCAAGCTCTTACCATGATGATGTACCAGTTGTTGACCACTGTGAGCTCGAACAGGGTCACTGCCAAGGGAAGGGAGAAAGCAGCATCCTGATGAGACCCCACTTCAAACTGAACTTTGAGCGGCCTCTTGTCACCTATCCCGGGTGCCATGTGCTAAGACGAAGGGGTCATCATATGCCCACTTGGGCTGTGAGCTCCAGGAAGGACCGGGCAAGGCCCTTGTGGGGCGCTGGCTCCACAGGGAGCTCTGCCATTGCGCTTGGCCCCAAGAGGGCACACCTTCTACTGTGCACACCAGACCCATCCGGATATCACTGGGTGCAGATCTGGGGTGTCATGGGGGCACGCCCTTTTTCTAGAGAGGCTGTGTGGTTGTGTTCTCCTCTTCATGGGGGTGGGCACAGGGCCGTGTGCAGCCTGAGCCGGGGGGCAGTGCAGCTGCAGCAACATTGGTGTGGCTGGGTCCCACCCTGTGAGTGGCACTGTGACAAGGGGACCCCACCCAGCTAAGGCGTACAGCTCTTCTCTTCTCCAATACTGAGAAGGTATCAGGGAAAGGAGTGGAAGTGGGCAGCTGAGTGCGCTCCGGGATCCGGCCTGGCCTGCACTGCCAAGGCTGGGCAGACCACACCCTCCACCTGGGCCAGGGAGGCGCCAGAAAGTGTGGCCCTTGGTGCTGGAGGGGGAGGCCCAGACACTCGCTACATCACCTCTGGGACCCGTGGTGACAAGGGTGGGGTTCCCAGGGAATGTGCCCTGTGATTTTTCCCACTCACCAAAGCTGTTGAGGATGTTGTCAAAATTATTGAGATAGTAGTAGCCTTCCTCCACCACCGTCCTGTTGCCCACGGTGTGGTTGCGCCAGCGGTAGGCATCTGCCACTGTACTCGTGCTGGCCAGAGCACAAGGGAGAAAGGAGGGACGGTCATAAGGCGATTGGTCACCTCCAGAGAGGTCAGAACTCTGAAACAAACTGAGGTCTGGCCCAGGATCCTCCTGTGCTGCCTGCAGCCTGCTTTCCTGCCTAACCCTCTCCACCTCATGCCTGGGCCCTGCTAGAGGAAGGCCCTTGGTCACTCCTGCCTGCTGGGCTTGGTGGGAGCCCCAGGCACCTCTGTCACCTGTCACCTAGCAGTTCTCTGCTGCAGGTGCAGCCTTCTCTCTCACCGCTGCCTGCCAGGAACAGAGGAGAGGCAAGGGCCTCCTCTGCACCTGCCCTGTCTAGGATCTGCTCTTGAGTCTGGGCACCAGGCCACAGCCCCAGGGAAGGAATTCCCTACTGGGGCTCCCTGATACTTGGCCTGAGCAAGTATTTGAAAAGGTTGGTCCTGTGTGAGAATTGTTTGAACCCAGGAGGTGGAGGCTGCAGTGAGATTGCATCATTGCACTCCAGCCTGTTTTGAGGAGCTCGTATTTGCCACTTTCCTTCCAATCCTTTATGACTGTTCTGTTAATATCCATGCTAACGTTTATAAAAGTCCAGTGCTCAGGCCACCAGGGAGCCTCCTCCCACACGCGCACATCAGACGCACAGGTGAAGTCTGGAGCTTGCACTAAGCTCCTTGGTGACTGCGATATACTCAAAAGCCTGGGACCCACAGCTACAGGCTTCTGGTTCCAGACCAAGCTTGACACTCAAACTGGGTCTCAAAGCTACCAGTGTCTTTGTAAAACTGTTTCTTCATCGGTGCTTGAGGCCACAAAGACCAAATGTCAGCGAACTCTGAATTGAGAATGAATGAATGGCGGTGCAGTGATTTCACTATGGCGGCTTAGGAGAAAGGGAGTGCTCATGCGAGACTTCACTCTCTGCTCTCCATCTCTGAGCTCGATGACCTTCCTGCACATGTCCCTAGAAGACTAGTCTTGGCCCAGGTCCCCAGCCACTCCAGGAGAGAAGTGGGAGGAAGCCATGGGACTTGACCTTGGGACACAGGCTACTTTAGGGGTGACCTCCAGCCCTTGGCAGAGGATGAGCTGATGGCTCCCAACCCTACCTGGGGGGATGGGAAAACAGGGACCCCAAGTCCAGGTCCCTCGTGTAGCTCACTACACTCAACTAAGCCCTGAAAGCAAAGCAAGGTGGCTGCTTAGAGAGGAGCAACCCCAAGGACCACAAGGCCACAAGGACACCAATTCAGTCCCTGGCCAGCCCTCTGCCCTGGAAATGCAGGCTGCCTGGGGCTAGGTGCCTCCGGCCACCGCCTACTCACTTGCAGCAGTTGGGGAAGAGGATTCCGCAGAAGAACTCCATGCCCACGATGGCGAAGGAATAGTAAAAGATGAGCAGGGTGAGGCCCAGGCTGTGGGGCGACAGGGGCAGGGTGACGCGAGGCCGGCAGGAGGGAATGGCTCCTCCGCAGCCCCAGCCTCTTCGGACCCCAGGGCTGACTGCAGGGCCACGCCCCCTGTCGGTTCACCAGCTGGAAAGTGCCTGCAGGGAAGGGGCCTCGTGGGGCAGCTCTGGGGTGAAAAACAGCTCAAGTCAGGACTCTAGGAACAGATGCCCCTTTCCCAGAGATTCACCCCTTACCTGTGAAGGTAGACTCACAGGTGACCCCTTACCTGTGAATGTAGACACAGGCAGTAAGTGAGTTGACAGCTCCCTGCCCTCCCTACTAAATATGTCAGACAGGTCAGTGGAGAAAATGTTGGTGCCCAGGAGACCTGTGGTGGTCAGGGTTCCCAGCTCCTTGCAGCCCCGTCAGGACCCCGATTCCAGTCCTCTGTGGAACTCCTTGCCCCCAACTGCTACTCGGCTCCCGCCCCCACGGGGCACTGCCACACGGCACCTGGACCTGTGGGCTGGGTTGGGGGCTGGCAGTACCTGGCCATCCGGGGCAGAAGCTCAAACATGGTGTCTAGCACATTGCGGTAGCGCTCTTTCAACTTAAACAACCTGAATGAAGAGGACACCCGTCACCTCCATACACAGGCGCACGCCTCAGCCCCCCCACCTCAGAATCCCTTGCCAGCCCTGCCCTCCACACGCCTCAGGGTGAAGACAGGCGAGGACCTGTGTCTGTTCCCCTGGGCGCCACCAGCCCTGAGCTTGGCTCAGATGACTCATGCATGAGGGAAGGGACGATGGCAGCCCTAGGACACCGGCTGGGTGGGGCCCTTCCACAAAAAGGAGCAGGACCAGGCCATGTCTCCTCCCAGTAGAGCTGCAGGCTCAGACAGGAGCAAGACCTTGCTCCTGGGAACGAGGGAGGACAAGCCCATGTTCCCTGGGGAGCTGGCGCAGGGGAGCCCACTGGCGAAGAAGGGTGGCAGAGGGTGGGAGGAACATGGATACTCAGGCCCAGCTCCAGGCGACCCCCACATGCCAACGGGGAGGCTTCTCCTCCATAGATGCTACCACCCCTCCTAGCGCCTATCCCACGTGTCCCCTCTCCTCCTAGGGAGAGGACAGGGCAATGGACATGAATATGGTTGAGGCTGGAGGGTCAAGAAGCAAACCCAGGCTCTGAGTGCACAGGACTTCGGGAGCCCTCATTAGGAAGAGACACCATCAGCCAAGCAGGGTGGCTCACGCCTGTAATCCCAGCACTTTGGGAAGCCAAGGTGGGTAGATCCCAAGGTCAGGAGTTTGAGACCAGCCTGGCCAACATAGTGAAACCCTATCTCTACTAAAAATACAAAAAAAAAATTAGCTGGCTGTGGTGGCGGACACCTGTAATCCCAGCTACTCAGGAGGCTGAGGCAGGAGAATCATTTGAACCCAGGAGGCAGAGGTTACAGTGAGATCGTGCCATTGCACTCCAGCCTGGGCGACAGAGCAAGACTCCATCTCAAAAAAAAAAAAAAAAAAAAGGAAGAGACACCGTCAGTGGGGCAGGCTCACCTGGCACTTCCTTCAGTGTCCCTGGGAAATCAGTGAGACCCACACAAGGGTTTTTCTCCACAAGAGGCTGAGCCAGAGAAGCATGATGGGCCCCTGAAAGGCCCCTTTAACCCTCAGACCATAGCTCTGTGATCTGTGACTCAGTACATGGGCTCCTGTGGCCAGTGCAATGCCACCTTGGGTGGGGTGAACATGAGTCATGGGCTGGGTTTCTCTGCCCAGAGGCGCCTGGTACAGTGAGGTGAGGGGCACAGGCAGCCTGCACGCCCTCAGAGGTGGGGATGGTGACCCCATGGTGCTTCTGCAGGGGGTGACATCTGTGACTCCGGCTTGTGAGCCTTCTGGCCCGTTCTGGGTCACTTCCCAGACCAATCCTGGGGCATTCCCATCCTCCTACTATTTCTCCGTCTCCATCTCCAGCCCTGCCCTGCCCCATCACCTCAGCAGCTGAAGGGGGCGCAGGACCACGATGAAATAGAAGGGCTCCATGTTGAGGGCCAGCGCCAGCAGTCCCAGGAAGGCAAACACCGTCACGGAGAAGTCGAACCTGCAGGAGGGGAGAAGCCGAGCGTGTCCACCCCATGGCCCTGAGCCTCCCTGCACCTGCTCCCCTCCCTGGCCCTGTGCACAGCCACCCTCCCACGGAGCCCAGACACAGCAACACCAACAGACCCTGGCCGGCTGCAGGAAGAACTTCCTGCCATCCCTAGGGTTTCAAGGTGGCCAGGCAATGTCCCAGAACACGTCTTGAGGGTCAGGCCTCAGCGCTCAGGGCCAGAAATGCCCAGGAACCCCCCGAAAGGGCCCCCTGCTGGTCTGACAACAGGGAGGAAAGAAGCCTGGCCTCTGAAGCCCTGGAGATAGGCCTCGTCTTCCGCTCAACAGACATCTGGTTACACACCACGGACCAGCCCGACTCCAAGGAACTTTTTGAGGGAAGACAGCAGATTCCCCGAACAGCTCACCCTGCCCAAGCCAGAGGACCCTCTCTCCTCTCCAGACACACAGGGCTCACACGTGTGCTGTCAGCTCCTCCCAGCGTGTGTTAACCTGCTCACCCTCAGGGCCCAAGACCTCATGAGTGCAGCCTGACTTCACAGGCTGGTTAGCTTTAACAGGGCAGGAAAGTGACCTCCCGCTCTGTGGAACAGGGAGATGGGCATGTGAACCTCATCACTGTTGATCAGGGGAGGCAGGGGAACATTCTTCTTTGTGGGCATTGTGCTTTTTATGGAAGCGAAAAAAGATTAATGACTCAGAAAGAGCAGGCCAGCCTCCGGCACCTCAAGAGGCCATTTCCAGGACGGGCATGGGGGGTGTGAGAGGCTTCAGACAAAGGCCTGACCCTGGAGAGTTGCTGAGCCTTGGGCAGGACTACAGGAGAGAGACACAGGGCTTGGCCCGTCCTCAGACCTTCCCTCCACAATTCCAGAAACGGCCTGGACATTGGGGTGTGCAGAGAAGGGTCTGTGGCCATTCTCAGAGTCTCCGCTTTGGGTGAGAAACATGCTGTCCACTCACAGGTTCCATCCGGAGGACAGGTACTCCACAGGGCCCAGGCCGGCGACCTTCAGGAATAGCTCCACCCCATAGACTGCGGACAGAAGGAGGCCATCGGCAGCAGCCCCGCCACATCCTCCCCCTTGCTCCATCTCCTCTTTGTGGTTCCTCTGCAGTCTGTAGCCTCCCTGCTGGCCACATGCCCTCCAGGCTGAGCCCAGGCCTCACTCATGTCCCACCGTGAGAGCAGGTGCTCCAGGGGAGGGCCCAGATAGTGACCAATTGTGCAATCTGCTTAAGAGAAACTTGCCAGGTGTAGTGATTCACACCTGTCAACCCAGCACTTTGGGAGGCCAAGACAGGAGGATCCCTTGAGCCCAGGAGTTGGAGACCAGCCTGGGCAACAGAATAGACCCTATCTCTGCAAAAAATACAGAAATTGGCAGGGCGTGGTGGCTTTGTGTGCCTGTAATCCTAGCTACTTGGGAGGCTGAGACTACTCAGGATCCCTTGAGCCTGGGAGGTTGAGGCTGCAGTGAGCCATGATCACACCACTGCACTCCAGCCTGGGTGACAGAGAAAGATCCTGCCAAAAAAAATGAGAGAGAAATCCTCCCTCCCCGTCTCCAGGCAGGGCCCAGCTAACCATCTGTCCACACAACAGGTGTGTCTTGACCACCCCTTCCATCTTGGGCCTCGCACTGGATACTGGGTGTGCAACAGTGACCAGTGCAGGGCAACCCTGAGCAATCGTTGTACTCCAGCACATGGGGGCACAGAACTTATCAATGCAGTGGGAGGAAAGATGCCAACAGGGAATGACAACACTTGATAGAAAGGGCAGGAGAGTCAGGCAGAGGCCAGAGGGAGACACCACCAGGCATCGGAAACCCCTGTGCACAGCCCAGAGGCAGGCGAGAGCAGCAGGGAGCGGAGGCTGCTGAGGAGGGCAACAGCATGCAGGGAGGGACGCGGTGCTGGCAAGCAGCGGGGCTGAAGAGCCGAGTGGAGGGCCACACACGCCTGGGATCTGGACTCCATCCAGAAGGCAGTGGACAACCATGAAAGGGTTTTAAAAAGGGACGAGATGGAATCAGACTAATTACTCTGTCTCTTTATAGCTTCCTGTTTTAAAGAACCATGAGGTTCTATACTGAATGAAAGTTCTCCCAGACAATGTTTAGAACAAGCAGCCCAGCAAAGCCACATTAGAAACTTACTGGTAAGAAAGACGAGGTAACTCCAGGGCACGTGCTTGGAAAAGAAGTTCCCACCTGTAAGACAGGGAGGTAGCAGCTCACGGGCAAGCCGGCTGTGCCAGCCAGGACATGGCCAGTCCCCAAGCGGGGGCTCACCTTTCAGCATGAATGTCTCCACGAGGATCCAGACGCCATTGACTGCCACCACCAAGTCTGAAATACACAGGCCCGTAAAAGACAGAGAAATAACAGGTGGGCTTAGAAATGTGCAGGTCACAGCTGCGGTCCCTGGTTAACTTCCTAGAGCTCTAGGGTTGGGGAGAATAGGGCTGCTCCACACACCCATTTGATAGGGAACATCTTCTGCTCAGTGCTCTTACCAAGGGAGCTAAATGAACCAGTATTTTCACCTAGAAACTGCTATGAATTTCTAAAAACACTCCATCACTATATAAAGACCAGTTATGATATAGGGATTATTCCAAATGGGTGTAGAAGATGAACAGTGTACAAGGCATTCAAGTATTGAAACCATTTGTTTTCCCCTAGAGACTTTTGTTTTTAGATGGAGTTTTTTGCTCTTGTCGCCCAGGTTGGAGTGCGATGGTGCGATCTTGGCTCACTACAACCTCTGCCTCCTGGTTCAAGTGATTATCCTGCTTCAGCCTCCAGAGTAGCTGGGGTTATAGGTGCACACCACCACACCTAACTAATTTTTTGTATTTTTAGTAGGATAGGGTTTCACTATGCTGGTCTTGAACTCCTGACCTCAGGTGATCCACCTGCCTCAGCCTCCCAAAGTGCTGGGATTACAGGCATGAGCCACCGCACCTGGCCTCCCCTAGAGACTTCTAATTTTAAAATAATTGCATGAACTCTTTAGCAAAACTGCATATGCATTTGGCCATCTGCCTAGCAATCCCACTTCTCAGAAACCATTCCAATGATGCACTAGCAAAAATAGAAGATGTATCTGAAAGCTGTAGACCACAGCACTATTTGTGACAGCAAAACACTGGCAACAATCTCAATGACACATCAATAGGGGACTGGTTAAACAGACTATGATTCATAAAGTGGCATACTTTAACCATAAAAAAGAAACAGGCTGGGTACAGTGGCTCACACCTGTAACAACAGCACTTTGGAAGGCTGATGCAGGTGGACTGCTTGAGCCCAGGGGTTTGAAACCAGCCTGGGCAACACAGGGAGACCATGTCTCTACGAAAAAATAACTAGCCAGGTGTGGTAGTGCACACCTATGGACCCAGCTACTCAGGAGGCTGAGGTGGGAGGACCGTTTGAGCCCAGGAGGCCAAGGTTGCAGTTAGCTATGCTTGTGCCACTGCACTCTGGCTCGGGTGACAGAGCAAGACCTCTAAGAGAGGAAAATATAAAAGAAATGAGGTACATTTCCACATATTCCTTTTTTTTTTTGAAACAGGGTTTTACTGTAACCCAGGCATGATCTTGGCTCATTGCAACCTCCACCTCCTGGGTTCAAGCAATCCTCCCACCTTGGCTTCCTGAGTAGCTAGGAACACAGATGCACACCACCACGCCTGCTAATTTTTGTGTTTTTTTTTTTTGTAGAGATGGGGTTTGCTACATTGCCCAGGCTGGTTTTGAACCCCTGGGCTCAAGCAATCTGCCTGCCTCTGCCTTCCAAAGTCCTGGAATTACAGGCATGAGCCACCATGAGCCTCATTTCTACATATTACTATGAATTGGTCTCCAGGGCATATTGTTAACTGCAAAAACCCAGGTGGCAGAAAAAAGTGCATAAAATATGCGTTGTGAAAGACAGAGATATTAATATGTATCCAACTTACAGGTTTTAAGTAATGAAAGGATAAGCCATAAATAAGTTATCCACCGTAGGAAGTGATGGGATATAAACTGAATTTCCTTGAATATACTTCTTTTGGTAGATCCGACTTGGAACCTGTATAAGTATTTTACATAATTTTTTTTCCTTTTTCTTGAGATGAAGTCTCACTGTTACCCAGGCTGGAGTGTAGTGGCATCATCACAACTCAGTGCAGCCTCTGCCTCTCAGGATCAAGTGATCCTCCCGCCTCAGCCTCCCAAGTAGCTGGAACCACAGGCATGCATGGCTAATTTTTTCTATTTTTGGTAGAGATGGGGTTTCACCATGTTGCTCAGGCTGGTCTCAAACTCCGGACCTCAAGTGATCTGCCGACCTCAGCCTCCCAAAATGCTGGGATTACAGGCATGAGCCACCATGCCCAGCCCTAATTTACATAATTATGAAACAAAATTTGGGTTTTGTCCTTGAGATAGGGTCTCACTCTGTTGCCCAGGCTGGAGTGCAGTGGTGCAATCACAGCTCACTATAGCCTGAACCTCCCCAGGCTCAGGTTCTTTTTGTATTTTTTGTAGAGATGGCGGTCTCACCATGTTCCCAAGGCTGGTCTCAAACTCTTGGGCTCAAGTGATCCACCAGCCTTGGCCTCCCGAAGTGCTGGGATTTTAGGTCTGAACCACCACACCTGGCCATAAAACAAAATTAAATGCCAAAAGCGATCCCCTAAAAATAACAAATAATATGGCATAAAGAAATCCAAATCTGTATCCAGTTAGTGACATGTCCACATGGAGAGGAACTATTCCAGGTGACCTTAAAACACAAGGCCAGGCACAGGGCTCACACCTATAATCCCAACATTTTGGGAGGCCAAGGAAGGAGAACGGCTTGAGGCCAGGAGTTCGAGACCAGCCTGGGCAACATGAGGATATCCCATCTCTACAGAAATAAAACAATCAGCTGGATGTGGTGGTGGGCACCTGTGGTCCCAGCTACTCAGAAGACTGCAGTGGAAGGTTGGAGTGAGCCTGGGAGGTCGAGGCTGCAGTGAACCATGGCTGTGCCAAATTGCGGTACCAGATTAAGCCCTTGTCTAAAAAAGAATCCACAGTAATCTCAATGTACATCCCTGGACTGAGGTTTCTAGTAATTATAACATTGGGATTGCGTTGCAATTGTTATTCTGGGACTGTGACGTAAAGCAAATGAATAACTCTGCCAGTGTAGTTGGGAACCTGGATATTTATTTTTTATGTTTGTTGGTGTCTGATTATCTTCAAAGATAAGCTGGATTTTAAGACTGCGAATCTAGGCCGGGCATGGTGGCTCAGGCCTGTAATCCCAGCATTTTGGGAGGCCAAGGCAGGTGGATCACCTCAGGTCAGGAGTTCGAGACTGGCACGGCAAACATGGTGAAATCACATCTCTACTGAAAATGCAAATAGAGCCAGGAGGCTGAGACAGGAGAATCACTTAGAACCTGGAGGCAGAGGTTGCAGTGAGCTGAGATTGTACCAGCCTGGGCAACTGAATGAGACTGTCTCCAAAAAAAAAAAAAAAAGATGGAGAATCTAGATGTGTAAGATTGATGAAATCAGTCTTACACATCTAGATTCTCCATCTTTCATTTAAATCCCTGTAGACCTGAATGTGAATTATCAGCATGGACTCACAATAGTTTATCTTTAAAAAAGAAACAATGACCAACTACCCAAGCAGTGGGCACCCAGCACCTCGAATTGTGTCTTTAACACAGTTTCCCACTAAAAGGAACCCGAGTTCCTTGGAAAGACTGAATCGGATCAAGCATCTAGGTTAGTACTGTCCAAGGGAATTTTCTGTGACAATGAAGTTTCTTATCTGAACCATCCAACTGGTAGTTATTAGCCATTTGTGGCTATTAAGCACTTGAAATGTGACTGTTAAGCTGAATTTTTCATTTTAATTAGCTTAAGTGTAAATAGCCACATGTGGCCAGTAGCTTCCACACTGTACAGCATGGCTCTAGATATAACTACCAAGTTCCAGGAAAAGGCAACAGAGGAACACACAAAACACAAATCCTGCTTCCTCACCTATATATTGCATGAGGGAGGAAGAAGGACCTACAGATTAAAACAAACTCAGGATATATGAACCAATGAACTCTGTGGTTCTGGTTGCTTCTAAAAAATCCAGGTCTAGAGAGGGACTGATGAGCTGCAGTGAGGATACCGATGGCTGACGGGCATAGGCATGCACGGGGCAATGTTCTCTCCATTGTCATACATGCTGAGAATTCCCCACAGTAAAAAGTCAAACACAGAACTCTAGGACCAATCTCTTGCCCCTCCCACTTCTAGAACAGCAAGGGGAAAGTGGCCTAGAGCGGAGATATTTCACACTTACACATGAAATACTGGAAGGCCTTGGACTTCACAAGGATATTAATGCCTATTTGAAGAAAAGACACGTTAAAATGTAAATTTACGCACATGTTCCCCCTACCGAATCCTTTATTATCTCCTTCTGGGCAGGTGCAGCCACCTACCACATTCTTCATGCATGTAGGTAAGCATGATCTTTAGCCCAGAGGTGAAGGAAGGAGGGTCCTGCTCAAAGAGGGGTACCCACACTTCTGCTCAGACCCCCGGACAAGACTGCACTGACTATAGCTGCTCTGGGGAGAGCCTGGGCACCTGGAACTGGGAGCAGGACGAAGCTCTGCTGACCACTGCTGAAACTGACTGAAACTAAGGGGTAATTGTCAGGTACATAAAATGAGCCCCCAATTTCAAATTTTCAAACTTTACACTACACAAGCATTATTCAAGGGGTCACGCAAAGTAAGTATACATCCTGCCATAAGGGCAGGGTAAAATACTGGATCAAAAGGCAGATTACAGAACAGAATACATAATGTCACCCTACTGTTCTAAAAATGCACAGAAAAACGGCACAGAGTTGGAAACACAACAGAGAATTAACAGTGGTTATCTCTGGGTGTAAATTTCCATTTACTTCTAATTATCTGACTTCCAAGTTTCTTCAATGAATATCTTTGCTTTTGTATGAAAAAAGAAAAATTCCCCAAATGTCTTGGTTGGGTTAAGCTACCCATTTCTCTCCTAATCTGCTTCCTACCATGCTTATCTCCCTGCTGGGGTAATCACACTTTCTCTTCACACAGACATTCAGTCAGACACACACACACACACGCACGCACACACACACCCTCTGAACCTACTCCTCAGATGCTCATCTGTGGTCTCTGAAAACATCAGCTGCAAGCACCTGCCATATTCAAGCCCACTTGCCTTTGAAGATGAGGAGCGCTGTTCTGGGAAGCTCATCAAACCAGTGCTCTCTGTTTTTCTTGGCCTGGCAGACAACAGGACCAGGAGGGAGGGTGTCAGGGCCAGGGACCAGAGCCCAGCCCTGGAGCCAGGATGCTGGCTTCCTTTCCTGTTCACCCTGCTAAACTGGGGAACATTAGCTTTCAGGAATCTATATGAGAGCACAGCCAGCCAGTGTGCACTGACTGTTTATAATGTGCCATGCAGAGGCAATATTTTCGTATAACCCTGAAAACAGCTCTGTCGGTAGGGATTATCATTATGCCTCTTCCCAGGTAAGACAAGCCTCAGAAAGGCTTGTTAACCTGCCTGATGTCACACAGTGACTGATGGGGTCTAAGTGAGATTTGGTGCTATTAACCATGACACTGCATCACAAATGTAAGGGCAGATATGGGGGCTGGGGGCCACTTGTGATCCCTGAAGTGTACCAGACCAAGCTGAGGGCTGATCTGCTCTAGTAGGGAGAGAGCTGGACCTTGGAGTGCCCCTGCTCACTGCTCCACTTGGGGACCTGTCTGTCCACTCCTTCTATGGTCTTAGAGGAGCACTCACCTTCCACTTCAAAGCAGCAACTTCATAGATATCATAAAAGTCCTTTAGGCTGCCATAAGCAAAATAAAAAGGGACAAAAAACTCAGAAAGCAGTTCCCCTGAGCTTCGGTTCTCTCACCTGCCTGCCTATGGACACCTTTACAGGGCGAGGATACGAGGAAGGGAGGGAACACCATGTGAGTCCCAGCACCACAGTGCCAGGGATCCTTTACCTGCAGGCGTTTGGATCTCCTCTGACCCTGAGGTACTACAAATACATAATCCACTCAGTTTACACCGACTGCACTAACTACAGACAGTGTCAGAGCCCTGGAGAGGCAGCTGCTGGAGCACTAGGTTCTTAGGACGGAAACTTCGCCTTTTAGGAGGGGCCTTCAGGCAACACCCGGGGCTGCAAGTTCAGCTCAAACAGGGCTTGTTCTCTGCCCACAGCACGCTGCTGCAGACAGGGCTTGGCCATCAGCTGCCTGGAAGGCCAATCCTGACCCTGGAGATCTCTCAGCTCAGCCAGCTGTGTGTGGGGGATGGGGGAAGTGTATTCACCTTTCTCTGTCCACTGGCTCACATGGGGCTATCCTACCCCACTGGGGGTTCGAGGGCCAGCAGCTGGGCCCGTCCGCTTCATGAGCCAATACACTCCTTTTTTCTCAAGTCAGTTTGAATGGGATTTGTGTTGGATTTTTGTCACTTGCAAAAGGAATCCTGATGAACCCAGTCTGCCAGTCTACATGGATAAACCCATCTCTGTGGAGAAAACTGAGTCTCTGACAAGCCTATAGCCTTCCCCACCTCCAGAGCCTTCACATGCTCCAGTTCCCTCTAGACATGAATGCCTTGCCTGGCCATGCTGCCCCCACCAGGCATCTGCTCTTACCTGAGCAGGGGTGTGTTGTTCTGATTCAGGGCCTTGAAGGTAAGATAGCGTTCCCTGGCACTCATCCGGGGCTTGTAGAAGCGCATGAGGCCTTCAAACTGCCTGTAGGAGATGCCGGCGGGCCTCTGGGGGAGAGGGAAGGGCAGTGTGGAACCCAGACCACTCCCCTTCCCTTGGGGCACCCACTCTAGATCCACTCCAGCTCTGCTTATTCTCCCAAGGGCAGGGCTCCTGGTTTCTAAAGTCACTGGCCTGGCCATCCGGCCATGCTTAGGGGGTGCTCTGGGCAAGCAGGGGAGGACTAGGACCAGCCCTTCCCCGGCCCATGGCTCCTACCCTCTGGCTGACGAGCAGGCGGTAGGCATGCTGGATGGCTGTTCGCTTGTGCAGCAGCAAAGACTTGAACTTGCGTTTCTCGATATCATTGAAGGTGTCGAACACCACAGCCAAAAGCTGTGGGAGAGAAGCGCAGAGCCCTGGCTCAGGACCTTGAGTGGTTGTGGCAGGGGGTGCAGGGGGCATGGGTTCATCATCTAGGCAGAACTCTCATCCAGTCACTCCAGAGAGGCCCGGGAGAGACCCTCTCGCCTACGCCTCAAGATGTAGGAAGTAGATCTCCCAAGTCTCAACAGAGGAAGGCCCTTTGTTCTGCTTGTAAATTTCCCTCTTCAGATACATGAACGCATTGTTAATCTCTCCCAGGTCCCCTCCACTTTCCCACACTCCCTTCCCCAGTTCCAACTATGGCTTGTCCCAGGTTGGGCAGGGGCTAGCCAGGGGAGGAGAGAGTAGCAAGAGGGACGCATCTGGGTTCTGAGCCCAGTCTGACTCCCCGCAGTGGCAGGGGGAGGCTGCCCACCCACTGCCCTCCTGACCTCCGAGCCAGAAGGACCCTTCCTTCTTCCCCTGCCATTTGTTACTTCTCCTTGTGAGTCACTGCGTCATGTGTGGCCCAGAAAAAAGGGGGATGAGAGGCTCTGCATGCAAGGAAATAATGTTCTAGAGTTGGCTGAGACCAAAGTTAGCTTATCAGAGGGGGATGGAAGGAAGGAGAAGAACTTGAAAGAATCCTTTTTAGAAGCATTTTCTTTGTCTTTTAAACATGTTTTAAGAAAAACTCTCTGGTCTTTCTCTCAAACTGGATCCCTGTTTTTTCCCGGTGGATCAAAGGTCAGCACGCTTTTTCCATAAAAGGTTCAACAGCAACTGTTTTAGGCTCCCAAATGATTTCTGCTGCAACCACTAACCTGTGGTCATATCATGAGATCAGCCACAGACAATACATAAACAAATGGACATGACTGTGTCCCAATAAAACTTTATTTACAAACCCAGGCTGTGGGCCAAATTTGGCCAGCAGGCCATACTTTGTTGACTGTTGCCCTAAATTTTCACAGCTCTAAATATATTAAAATTAAATCAAATACAAAGAGGTATTCAACATATTTCTTTTTGGTTTTGAAGAATTAAAAAAAGAAAATATTTTCCCTTTTTTTGACACAGAGTTTCGCTCTTGTTACCCAGGCTGGAGTGCAGTGGCGCGATCTCGGCTCACTGCGACCTCCGCCTCCTGGGTTCAGGCAATTCTCCTGCCTCAGCCTCCTGAGTAGCTGGGATTACAGGCACACGCCACCGTGTCCAGCTAATTTTTTGTATTTTTAGTAGAGATGGGGTTTCACCATGTTGACCAGGATGGTCTCGATCTCTTGACCTCGTGATCCACCTGCCTCGGCCTCCCAAAGTGCTGGGATTACAGGCGTGAGCCACCGTGCCCGGCCCTATTTTCTCCTTTTTAAGACTTAAATTTTGGCCAAGCACGGTGGCTCACACCTGTAATCCCAGCACTTTGGGAGGCTGAGTTGGGCGGATCATCTGAGGTCAGGAGTTTGAGATCAGCCTGACCAACATCACAAAACCCTGTCTCTACCAAAAATACAAAAATTAGCCAGGTCACAGTGGCGTGTGCCTATAATCCCAGCTACTTGGGAGGCTAAGTCTTGGAGGAGAATCACTTGAACCTGGGAGGTGGAGGTTGTAGTGAGTCAAGACTGTGCCACTGTACTCCAGCCTAGATGATAGGACAAGACTCTGTCTGAAGAGAAAAAAAAAAAAGACTTGAATTTTTAGATTTCACAAGTGTACCTGGAGAAGATGATTTTCATGTCTATACTGGGCCTGCCTGTGGTGACTGGTGTGAGAATGCTCTAGGGAAGCATGAAAATAAACACAAGACTTGATCGGAAGCCTCTGCCTGACAGTCCTGCCCTGGATGTGCGGTCTTGGCACCGGCCTGGCAGCCTGGTGTCAGATGTGATCTGTGATGGCAGGGACATTCTTGCTGGCTGTCCATGCCTCCACAAATACCCTCCAAGTTCCTTGAGCACAGGAGCTTTACGTTCTTCACAGAATGTGTTCTATACTGGATTTTCTGATGGTTCCTCATAAATGGGGTAGAAATGCACAAGACATTTTTGGCACATGAGTGCAACTGAACAGAATGGTTAGGGACAGGGCTCTGTAACAAGCCTGGCCCGGTCACTCCAAGCTACGCAGCTGTGGGCGAATCACACTGTCACTCTGACCCTCAGTCTTTTCATGTGAACACTGAGAACCACACTCAGTACCTCCAGGGTTCTGTTTATTTATTACATTATTTCATCCTCGTATGTAAAACACTTTGCATAGTGCCGAGTGCCTAGCTAAGGCTTACAAAGTGCCAGTGTTTATGGTATTTAATACAGTCAGCCTTCCTTATCTGTGGGTTCTGCATCCGTGGGTATTCAACCAACTGCGAATCAAAAACATTCCAAAAACAAAAGGATGGTTGCGTCTGTACTGAACACGTACAGCCTTCTTTTTCTTGTCATTATCCCCTAAACAATAGAGTATAACAACTGGTTTTTTGTTTGTTTATTTGTTTTTGATATGGAGTCCTGCTCTGTTGCCCAGGCTAGAGCGCAATGGCAGGATCTCAGCTCACTGCAACCTCCACCTCCTGGGTTCATGCTCTTCTGCCTCAGCCTCCCAAGTAGCTGGGATTACAGGTGCCCACTACAAATGCCCAGCTAATCTTTGTATTTTTAATTGAGACAGGGTTTCACTATGTTGGTCAGGCTGGTCTTGAACTCCTGACCTCAAATGATCCACCCACCTCGGCCTCCCAAAGTGCTGGGATTACATTACAGGTGTGAGCCATTGCACCCAGCCCAGTATAAAACTACATAGGTTATACATTGTTTTCGATGTTATAGGTAATGTAGGATGATTTACAATATACGAGAGGATGAATATGCACAGGTTATCTGCAAATACCATGCCATTTTATATAAGGGACTTGAGCATCTGTGGATTTTTGTACCTACAGAGGATCCTGCAAACAATCCCCATGGACACCAAGGGTCAACTCTTTGTCTGCTGTAAGAATTGAAAGGTCCCGAGGGTCGCCTGGGCTTAACATGCAGCACTATCAGCAGCAGCAGCACTGCCCCGGTGAGGACGTCACTCCCAGCAACTGAATGAACTCCTGAAGTCCTGACAGGGCATCCCCCACAACACTGCACCTGACTGTGAACCTAGGACCTCCTGCCCCAACACTCTGCCCTGGGAGGTGGAAAGCAGTCCCCACTTCTCCATCCCCATGGTGCCCAGCGCTGCGTGGGCAGGGGCAGGCTGCTCCAGCATAGCACTCACCAGGTTCATGATGAAGTACAGCTCGATGGAGAGGTACACGATGAAGAAGACGCAGGACCAGGGGTTCCGGGAGTAGGAGGGCATCATCACATCTGGGAAACTGTATTTGTAGAGGGTGACCCAGCGGGTGGTGTCTGCCTATCTCCATCCTCTCAGAGAACATGAGGCCTTCCCAGCCTCCAACCCCAGTTCTCCTACTCTCATCCCTGGGCTCCGTACTCAGCAGGCCAACTCTGTCTCCCAACAGCACCAGAGCACCTGCCCTTGCTGGGATGTGGAACAGACTTTGCAGAAAAGAGAGGAGACCCCAGGACGGCAGCAGAGGGTGAAAGGCAAGGCAGAGCCTGAACTTACTTGGCTGTGGTCAGAAGGACAAACAGACTGACGATGCTGTTCTCCAGGGTGCTGAAGTACTGCAAGGAAAGAGGGGGCAGAGGAGAGGTTGGGGATGATTTAAAGGGGGCCAGCCAGAGCACACGGCCACCAGGAACAAGCTGTGATAGGCCACCTGGTGTGCCCTGCCTCACCCACTCTGGCAACTCTCAAGGAATCCCCGAGGGAGGCAGAGGAAAAAGCAAACATGCAGTTCAGAGGCCTCCTCCTTCCTGCACCTGATGCTTCTAGCAGAAGCAGACTACTGACTTCGGGGGACTTTTTTTCCCAGGGAGTCACGTGTCTGGGCCATTCGCCTGGTTCTCCCCCACTGCTCCTCTGCCAAAATGTTCCAATGGTACAAACCTGATCCTGGCAGCACTCCTTTCAAGAACAGAAAAGGGGATCCCCAGCTCTCAAAGAAGGAAGTGGTCAAGTCTGAGTGTCGGGAACTCCCAGGTGGAGTGCACACACAAGCTATGATGAGAAACCAGGCAGGGCCCCTTCCCATATGGCTACAGGGTCACACCAGCCACCCCGTCTGAGCAAAAAGCCCTCCATAAAAGAAGAGACAGACAGATGTGCTGATTACTTACGGGGTCTGAAGGGTCAGGGGAGAACAAGTAGAAACCTAGAAGCAGGTGGAAACACAGATGACAAAAGGATTAGAGCAGAGGTCCCAAAACCGGGGTAACAAATACCAGACAAATACATGCACATGAACGCAGCGGGTCAGGAAGAGCAGCAGGGACTGCTGGGGACCGCAGCACCCGAGAACACGTGCTCTGCCCGAAGGGAGCAGGGACTGCTGGGGACCACAGCACCCCGAGAACACGTGCTCCGTCCGAAGGGAGCAGGAACTGCTGGGGACCGAAGCACCCTGAGAACATGTGCTCCGTCCAAAGGGAACAGGGGCTGCAGGGGACTGCAGCACCCTGAGAACATGCGCTCGGTCCAAAAGGAGCGGGGGCTGCTGGGGACCACAGCACCCTGAGAACATGCACTCCGTCCAAGGGGAGCGGGGGCTGCTGGCACCAGACACTTGCTACCACACAGCAATGTGCTGGGCACTATTGGCTCTGTTCTTTCAAAATGCTGGAAGTCTGTTTTTGTGTAAAATCTAATTTTAAAATGCTGGCTCAAAGTTTTCAGACCAAACAAAACCCATCTGTAGGCTGGATCTGGAATCCAGGCTGCTGTTTTGCAATCTTAGGTTCTGAGAACATGACAGCTGAGTGAAATTCCAAAGGGATCCGCTGCTCCCCTGCCACCAGAGTCCCAGGGTAGGAATACCATTCACTTCTCCCTCCTGGAATGGATCACTCCCTGAGTCCCTGAACTCCTGAGTGGGAAAAGGGAGAAAATGCCCTCAGGGGAAATCAGCCCCCACTCCTGGAGAGGCAGAAACAAATGAAATTCTACCAAGAGTGGGGTGGTGGGTGGGAGGAAGTGAGAGCCGTGACTCAGGACAGGGCAGTCACGAGGCCAGGAAGGGCTGGCCCCGGCTCTAGCCTCGCAGTCAGGACTCTTTGGTTCCACTGTCTTCACTATCTGCAGAATCTTGGTGAAAGGACCTTGGCTTTCCCAGCCGAGTGCCTCAACCTCCGACATCTACGCCCTGTGACTCTGTGTGGCTGTCACAGTCAGCCCCATCTGAAAAACCAAGCCCTCCTGAGTGAGCAGCCTGTCACCCTGCTGTACTCAGTGAAGCTGAAGCGTGCTGTCTCTCAGGGCCCAGGCAAGCACCTTTGAGAAACTCTCAAGCGTGAGCAGCAGGAAACACACGGGAGTGTTCGCTGCAGTGGGATTTGTGATAAGAAAAATGTCCAGCAGAGAGCAGACAAACAAGCTTTGGCATACTTGCTCCGCTCCAGTGAAAATGAATAAATGGCATCTACATGTATCAACAGGAATACATTTCAAAAACACAGTGCTGAGCGAAAGAGCAATGTGTAGAAGAGGACATCCATATTATATAACCACTTAAAGACGTTGTTTAAGTATGCAAAGAAAGCAGTATCATTTCTTGGTTGCTTGGGGAAATGTAAATATGAAGTCAAATAGAAAGATGTGCCTGGGAACAATAAGCTTAGGATAGGGGGTGCCTTTGGGGAAAGCGGGAATCACCATCACTAAAGGTTACAAACGTGCCTTCCATTTTATTTCTAATACTTTATTTCCTAAGCAGGACGGGGGTCCATGGGTGTTCATGTTATTATTATTAATTTATTTACTTATTTATTTTTGAGACAGGGTCTTGCTCTGTTGCCCAGGCTGGAGTGCAGTGGCACTGTCACAATTCCCTGCAACATCTATCTCTCCATGCTCAGGCGATCTCCTGCCTCACGTCCCGAGTAGGAGGGACTACAGGTGCACACCACCATGCCCAGCTAATTTCTTTTTTTTTTGGTAGAGATGGGGTCTCCCTGTCTTTCCCAGGCTGGTCTTGAACTCCTGGACTCGAGCAATCTACCTGCCTCAGCCTCCCACGGTGCTGGGACAATCAGCATGGGCCACTGTGCCTGGCCCACTTTTAAAACCTTTCTGAATTTCTAAAACTGTTTGTGTCCCCTGCCCCCAATTCCTAGTCCCCAAGGTGATGGTGTCAGGAGGTAAGGCCTGTGGGAGGTGAAGAGGTCATGAGTGTGAAGTCCTCCCGAATGGGATTAGTGCCCATATGAAAGAGGCACCAGAGGCCAGGCACAGTGGCTCACACCTGTAATCCCAGCAGTTTGGGAGGCCGAGGCAGGCAGATCACTTGAGGTCAGGAGTTCGAGAGTAGCCAGGCCAATATGGCGAAACCCTGTCTCTACTAAAAATACAAACATTAGCTTGGCATGGTAGCGAGTGCCTATAATCCCGGCTACTCGAAAAGCTGAAGCAGGAGAATAGCTTGAACCTGGGACAAAGAGGCCCCAGAGAGCTGCCTTCCACCTTCCATCACATGAGGCCATAGCCAGAAGGTGCCATCTATGGACAAGGAAACAGGCCCTCACCAGATACCCACAGCTGGCCCTTGATCTTGGACTTCCAGATCTCACAGCCTCCAGAACGGGCAGAAATCAACTTCTGTTGTTTATAAGCCACCCAGTCTATGGCATTTTGTTACAGCAGCCCAAGAGGACTAAGACACTGTCAACATAATTTTTCTTTTTTCTTTGAGACAGAGTCTCACTCACTCTGTGTCACCCAGGCTGGAGTGCAATGGCACAATCTCAGCTCACTGCAACCTCTGCCTCCTAGGTTCAAGCAATTCTCCTGCCTCAGCCTCCCAAGTAGCTGGGATTACAGGTGCGTGCTATCACGTCCAGCTAATTTTTATATTTTTGTAGAGAATGGATTTCACTGGGTTAGCCAGTCTGGTCTCAAACTCCTGACCTAGGTGATCTGCCCACCTTGGCCTCCCAAACTACTGGGATTACAGGTGTGAGCCACTTCTCCCAGCCCAGAATAATTTTTCATCCACCATGAACTTGCTTTTCAAGTGTGCCTGGGCCTGGGAAGCGGGAACTCACCAAGGATGGCGAAGATGATCATGAAGAACAGCAGCAGCAGGAGGATGTCCATGAAGGGCGGCAGGGACTGGAAGATCTGCCGCAGGTTGCTGGGGAGAGAGACCAGCCAGCTCAGGGGAAGCGCCTGCTAGGGCGGGCCATCTGGGACTCCTTGTCGAGATGGGAACCTAGAGCTTCTGACTCAAAATACTAAATCGTGTCGCACCCTGATATGACATCGTACTTTGTTTTTTTTGGCAAGTGGCTTGAGACCCCCCACTCAGTGGGTGACGGGGAAGAACTGGGGTAGCACATAGCCACCTCTACCTCGTGACAGCCCAAGGAGGTGAGTGCCCTGCAGGGGGGAAGGGAGCAGCAGAAGACCAAGGGCATTGCCTTGGGCATGAAGGTCAGTTTCCATGAGCAGGATGTGGAAGGCATGAAGCCACTTTAAGGCCCTAGGGTTAGTCCTGGGACACTGGGCGTGTTTCAAGGACACTGAGTCCTGTTTCCAGCTTTGAGGATGGGCACAGAGAATGAATTGCAAGCCCACTCTCAGCAACAGTGGCCCAGCCGAGGAATTTTCCAGAATGAGTCTTCCAAAATAAATTTTAGTCGGGGCTTGGTTCGGTTTGAGTTCAGTCCTACAGCCTCAGTGGAGGTGGCAGGAGAGCCTGCTTGTGTCACATGGACGCTGCTGAGTTGCCTGTATTTGGGTAGATAACATGCTTAGAGCGAGGAAGCAGCTCTGGAAGGGTGCGGGTAAGATGGGAAAGAGCCCTGGACCCAGAGGCAGCAAGCCCAAACTGCGGCAAGAATACTGCCTTCTCCTGCGTGTGCGTGGGATGGCAGAGTGAGGGTGAGTATGCGGGTACTCCATCAGCATGCAGGGTTCACCTCATCACTGACTGACTCACAGTCTTCTGCCCCACTGGCCCAGAGGTCAGGCCACGCCACGATAGTGACTGTCTTCCCAGCTTCCCACCCAGGCCTTACCGCCGGACGCCGCCGCAATACCGACAGTCCACCAAGAAGATGCAGCGCAGTGCCCGGGTCACCCGCACATGGGACGTCTGCCGTACCAACACCACGATGGCCTCGACAAACTGCACCACCAGCACTGAGGTCTGCGGGCGGCAGGCATGGAGCACCGTCAGCCCACCCACCATCCTGCATACCTGGAACGGGGGACTGGAGAGGCAGTGCCTACTCTGGCCTTAAGAGGCCTTCCCTCTCTCCAGCCCTCTCTCAAACTTCCTGCCAACATCAGGCAGCCCCAGGAGAGGAAAAATCCAGCTGCTGGCACAGATGTGTGGTACCAGGAGAATGAGATGAAGGAGACGGCCCCAAGCAGCTTGACTGCTGGTATCCACTGGCGAGGCAAAACCTCCACTCTGCCAGCCCCCTCCATCAGCCGTCCCCACTCGCACCAGGGATCCCAGGCCTGCAGCTCCTCTCCATCTCTGCTTACTTGGCTACACTCTCCCGGAGCAGCACACATGCTCCACACTCTACAAAGCGCCACCCTGACATGCTCCTACTCATGCCACTCTGTGGCACAGAGAGAAGACACACAACTAGGGAAGATAAGCCCAGGGGAAGGGGGCAGACAAAGCTGGGTGTGAACCCTGCATCTCTGGATAAATGTAAAACAGAGAGAGCAGCACCTCTCTCTCCAAGGTGACTGCACCAGTGCCTGGCATGTACAAAATACTCCATCACATTAGCTACTGCTGGCATTACCAAGGCATCCGGAGCACTGGCAAGGCTGAGGTCATGGTCAGGACAGGGACCCTAAGATCACACCTCTGAGTGTGGACTGGGTCCACAGTGGATTCTGAATTGTGCCAAAGAGACAGGTTTGAAGGTGACATGGGAGAAAAGCCTGCAAGGAGAGGGACAGAGGGTCGGACACATCACCTTGACCATGGTCCGTTTATGCCGGATGAAGGTGTGGAGGCCCAGCCAGCGTAACTTCATGCAGAGTTCAAACACTACTACCATCAGGGCGAACAGTTCCAGGGTGGCATGGACCTAAGACCAAAGGGTGTGGGGATGCGTCATGGCCAGCCCAGCCCACGGCCATTCCTTTTTGGCCGACCCTCCCAGGACCTGGGAGTGCCCCAGGACATCCTCCCAACACACATCAGGGTTACAAAACCTGGCTCTGCATGCCGAAAGGCACAGCCTTGGTCACAGGGCTTTCCCCAGAACAACTCAACAAAAACTCAGTATCTGTGAAACTGACAAGCTGGTGCAAACAGTGAAAAATCAGGAAGGAGCCTGAAGTTCAAAAGTGCATGCCACCACGCTCAGTTAAGTTTAAAACGAATTAGCTGGGCATGGTGGCATGCACCTGTAATCCCAGCTACTTGGGAGGCTGAGGCAGGAGAATCGTTTGCGCCCAGGAGGCAGAGGTTGCAGTGAGCTGAGATCATGTCACTGCATTCCAGCCTGGGTGACAGAGGGAGACTCAGTCTCAAAAAAGAAAAGAAAAGCAAGATAAAATGTAATATCTAGCCTTGTTCTATGAGGGATTTCATGTAACTGACAAAAGATCTATAAAAGACACTAAGAAAGCTTAGGAAATAAAATCTGATAGTCAAAGAAACAAGGACTGTCAAGCACAGAGCAGCCTCTAAAACTCTAATCCCCATTCTGGATAAAAGGACAAGAAGACATGGAAAACCCTCAGCTGGAAAACCTTCCCAACAGGGAAGTCAAGGGCTCCCGGGGAAACAGACTCAGGAGAGCTCCTCCTCCTGGGGATGGGGAGTTCTGGGGCCCGTGGACATTCCGGAGAGCAGGAACTGACGGAGTGAAGGGATAGGTGGAGGAATTTCAGCACAGGGGACAGCATGGGGGAGGCGTGCAGAGGAAGGAATGCAGACTGGCCGGAGCTGTGAATTTCTGGCATGAAGAGGGAGAAACAGGGAAACTGAGTCATGGAGGGCCTCGGCGGCCAGGCTGGATAAGTGCTTCCTAACTCAACAGGCACAAGCTTCCTTCCCTGCTTCTGTGCCTTCCACACACTCCTTGATAAGGGACAAGCACGGCTCCACACCTGCTCTGGCCCCCACTGAATGATGGCTGAGCCTGGGCATGGGGACATCTATGGGGTTGGAGCTGCCCACAAAACATCCTACCCCTCCCACAGTGACCACACCCAACTGCTTTCTCCTCTGAGGCTGGAGATAGAGCGGTGGGAGTGTCCATTGGGTGCCCTGCCCACCCAGAGCAAGGTGTGGGCACTGGTCCTGAGCAGAGCCAATGGGACACTTTCCTTCCCTGGAATTTACTGGGGGGCAAAATCCCAAAGAGACAGGATTAAAGCCATTCACTTCAACAGGGACACCAGGCATTTCTGCCCCCAAGGAGGGGCAGACTGTCCCGTGTCTCTCTGACCATCTCATGTCTCTCTGTGTTAAGTCTGTCTGCAGTGTCTGCCCTCCCAGAATGTTCCTTTTAGGGGTTCTGTTGCTTGCCCTGAAAGCTGTGGCTCCCAGCCTCCCCCGCCCCCGCCCGGTGTGAGAAGCATGTGCACTCACATAGATGCCAAGCCGGAGTGCGGGGACAGCAGGGGCCTCGCACAGGGAGAGCAGCAGCAGCAGCAGGGCCGTGGCCAGCTCCATCAGGTAGAAGAGGTGATTGTGTGCAAAGAGGTAGGCCGCCAGCGCCTTAGCATCCTTGGGGTGGGTGAAGAACTTGTCATTGTTCTCGCCTTCCTGTAAAGATGAGAGCAGTGTGGGTGTGTGAGCCTGGAGACCTGCCCAGTGCCAAAGAGGAGTGGCGGGCAGGGGAGGAAAGTAGGTTTCAGATAGGCAGAGAGAGATTCAGGCCAGAGATAGAAGATGCAGGAAAATCAAAATGGTCTTCACAAAACTGCACGCTGGTCAAGTCTCACTCCTGCCTGCTGATGGGCTCAAGAGACTTGCTGCTTCTTAAAAACCACTTGGAGGAAACAAAGACTAAAAAGGTCCTGAGACAGCCAGGTGTGGTGACATCCCGGCTACTCAAGAGGCCAACATGGGAAGATCCCTTGAGCCACGAGTTCAAGTCTAGCCTGGGCAACACAGCAAGACCCCATCTCTTTAAAAAAAAGGGGGGGGCGGAGGGGCTGGGTGCAGTGGCTCACACCCATAATCTCAGCAATTTGGGAGGCCAAGACAGGAGAATTGCTTGAGCCCACGAGTTTGAGACTAGCCTGGGCAACATAGTGAGACCCTGTCCACACATGTTAGCACATGCTTCTGGTGCTAGCCACTTGGGATGCTGAGATGGGAGGATCACTTGAGCCCAGGAGGTCAGGCTGCAGTGAGCCAAGATCGCATCACTGCACTCCAGCCTAGACGACACAGCGAGACCCAGTCTTTAAAAAAAAAAAGAGACAGAAAAAAAGATCCTAAGAGGAGGTAAAGAGAAACAGGCACCTGCAATCCCCACAGAGGCCAAGTTCTCCCTTTAGGAGTGCCCAGCAGAGCATAAAGAGCTCAGGGGCCTGGGAGGAACCAGATGAGCTGAGCCCTGGCTTCCTACCCCTTCCTTGAGGAACATCAGGAAGGTTCCTTCACCTTTGAGCTCAGCTTCTTCAACGACAAAGGCACTAACATTAGTGATTCCTCCTGGGGCTATTGTGAAGAGAAAAGGTGAAGACATTTGTAAGGCACTTAGGGTGGTGTCTGCCACATGGTCAGCTCACTACAGGTATTCACTATTATCATAACTCACATGAATATTACCAGAAAAAAAGCAGCCCAGTCAGACCCTTTATCACCCATCAACAGCTACCCAGAACAGGCACAGTGGCTCATGTAATCCCAGCACTTTGAGAGGCTGAGGCGGGTGGATCATCTAAGGTCAGGAGTTCAAGACCAGCCTGGCCAACATGGTGAAACCTCATCTCTACTAAAAATAGAAAAATTAGCCAGGCATGGTGGCAGGCACCTGTAGTCCCAGCTACTCAGGAGGCTGACGCAGGAGAATCACTTGAACCCGGGAGGTGGAGGTTGCAGTGAGCCAAGATCTGCACAGTGGCGTATCACTACTATACATTACTATACATTTACTTACTTCATATCCTACTTCATTTTAATTGACAAATAATAATTGTATATGGGGTACAATGTGATATTTTGATTTATTTATATGTTACATAATTTTTTTTTTTTTAGACAGAGTCTTGCTGTGTTGCCCAGGCTGGAGTGCAGTGGTGCGATCTCGGCTTGCTACCTCTGCCTCCTGGGTTCAAGCAATTCTCTTGCCTCAGCCTCCTGAGTAGCTAGAACTATAGGTGTATGCCACCACATGCAGCTAATTTTTGTATTTTTAGTAGGGACGGTGTTTCACTCTGTTGCCCAGGCTGGTGAGCTCCAGTGATCCGCCCACCTCGGCCTTCCAAAGTGATGGGGTTACAGGTAAAAGTCACCGCGCCTGGCCCATTCTCACCACCTTATTCTGGGGAAGTCCCTGCCTGTAGTTTGCAGAGTGACTGTGAGTAAGTCATTTCTTGAAGCTGGATAAATTGCTCCCCTCATTAGCAAAATATCAAGATAAACTGCAGACTTGGTAGCAAACCTGACAGCAGACCACACCTGGCTAATTTTTGTATTTTTTGCAGAGATGGGCTTCTGCCATATTGCCCAGGCTTGAATTTCACTAAATCTTTTTTAAATGACAAAACAAATACTTGCAGTGGAGAGCTGCTTCAGATAAGAAAGATTAGGGAAAATTATGATTCAAATGAATTTAAGAAAAAGTCTGTTTCCTCTTCCAAACTCTTACTCACTGCACCCCAGAAACTGGAATCTTACAGTGACAAGATTGGCAAGATAAAGATTAAAATGCCACCACCAGTGGGGCCATCGGTAAAGAGGCAATATTTCCTGTGGAGAGGATTCCATGCTGAACATCAAGGCCCTACAAATTGTTGATTCCTTCTACCCGCTAACTCCATTTCCTAGAATTTCCATTTCCTTACTTTCCTAGCAAAATAATCCTAGATGTAAGGGAGTGGGGGTGCTATGTATAGATTGTCCTTGGATTAGAATTTACAATGAGGGAAAATATTCAAGATTATCAGATTAAGTCAGTCAGAATAATTTACCCGATATAATTTAAAGCTATTTAAATAGCCAGGTGTGGTGGCTCATGCCTGTAATCCCAGAACTTTGGGAGGCTGAGGTGGGCAGATCACCTGAGGTCAGGAGTTCAAGACCAGTCTGGCAACATGGTGAAACCCCATCTCTACTAAAAATACAAAAATTAGCTGGGCATGGTGGCACGTGCCTGTGGTCCCAGCTACTCAGGAGGCTGAGGCAGGAGAACTGCTTGAAACCGGGAGGCAGAGGTTGCAGTAAACTGAGATCGAGCCACTACACTCCCAACTCCAGCCCAGGTGATGAAGTGAGACTGTCTCCAAAAAAAAAAAAAAAAAAAATATGCTTATGCTGTATGCTATGGGGAAAAAAAAAAAAAAGGAGACTATAAAATTGCAGATATCGTATGACTTTTAAAAATTATTTTAGAAAACAGATGTATTATTCTTAATATACATTTTTTTAAACCTGAAAGAAAATAATGTTGACAGTGACTGCCTTAGGTGAATGTTTATTTCCTCTTGTATCTAAATTTATTATAATGAGCATGTATTACTTTCACATGAAAATATTTTTTTCAAAGAAAGAAAAATCCTAAAATAGCAAACAGGAAAGCAGAAAGCAGTAACAAGTTAAACAAGAATAAAGCTGTATCATTCAGAATGTAAAGAAAAATTCCCTGCTGAGAACGTGGTCTCTCGGTGTGCCCTGAGAAGAGGGAGGATGGCAGGGAAGGCCAAGTGGACAGACTCTAGGAATAACTGTGGAGGTTGGCACAGCCCCGAACAGAGGTCTGAAGACAAGCCGGCGCACAGCAGTCTTCCCCTGTGAGCACAGTCAGGTCAGCGCCTCCATCTTACGAACCTGAAGCTCACACACGAGCAGCAGCAGCATGAACCAATGCTGGAATGGAATTTCTGGGCACCTAGCAGAGCCCGGGCTGCCCCGCCCCACCACCAGGGGCAGAGGAGATACTCACCTGGAGGTAGATTGCTGCCTCTTGGTAATTCATCTCCCAGTTGTGTGCGGGGCTGGAGGGGGAACTCTCACCCCCAGAGCTGAGACTGGGTACCTGGGAGTCATGGATGGCATAGCTGCCGCCATCTGCAGTGGAAGAGGAGAGAGATTTACTTGGCACCCAGGCTTAAGAGTGTAAAGACACCATTCGGCAGAAGAACAGCCTGGCAGTCCCTTCCTATGCTCACATAGACTTCCTGTCATCTTCAAATCAACCTCCAAGCTGTGTACTGATAGTGGCAAGAATTAGCATAGCTGGTTACAAATGTTTTCCTTTCTCTTGATAAGTGAAAGAAGCAAGTACAAAAGAGTACAAATTGTGTGCTATCTACTGTGTACAAAAGGGAGGAAACAAGAAAACATAAATATGTCGACTTATCTTTACCAAAAGAAACACAGGAAGGAAAAATGAGTGAAACTGGTTGCCCTACAAGGGCTATGAGGAACAGGGAAGACGGATCCTTTTGGAATACTCTGACCCTTGGAAGCATATTAATATTCTACTTAGTTAAAAATTAAAAACAACTGCATTTGTCCCCGGGTACAGGGCCATCTGTTGCTCTTCCCTGCTGGTGGCCACGCCCTCCTCTCCCAGCAATGCTGGGCCATCTGTCTCGGCAGAACATCCTCCCCTTGCCCTCTGTCTATGTTGTTTGGCTCTGGCCGACTCTACCCCTGGCTCCTGGCAGGTGACCTGGGCCTGGCAATGAGCCCCTCGTCTCCCTTGGGCCCAGGGATTGGTTCAGGCATGGCTGTTGACCCAAGTCTGGCCAGTGACAGCTGAACTTGAAACCGTCCCGGGCCAATTAGGAAGGAGGGGCTTTTTCCCTGTTGTTGCTGGCGGCTGCCTCTGCCACCACATGGGAGAAACTTGCCTGAGAAGGACGTCAGCAGAGAACAAAACAATAACCAAGAGATAACGCTGACACCAGCTGCACTCCTGAAATCCAGCTGTGCCTAAAATCTACCCCTTAATTTCCAAGATACAAGCTGATAAAGAGTCTGAGTTTGGTTTGTCAATAATCCTGAGACTCTACTGATAACAGTAAACAATGCCACCAAGAAATGACGCTTTGTTTGTGAATTGATTGGAAAGAAGTGAATCCGAAAGAGAAATCTGTTAAGTCCACATTGTAAATGATCCACCTGAAGGAACGTAAAGAATCTAATGTTCTGGAAAAAAAAAAAAAAAAAAAGAATCTAATGTTTTGGGCTAAGCACAGTGGCTCACACCTATAATCCCAGCACACTCAGGCGACACAAATCACCTGAGGTCAGGAGTTTGAGACCAGCCTGGCCAACACACGAAACGCTGTCTCTACCAAAAATACAAAAATTAGCCAGGTGTGGTGGCAGGTGCCTGTAATCCCAGCTAGTCAGTAGGCTGAGGCATAATAGCTGGAACCTGGGAGACAGAAGTTGCAATGAGCCAAGATCTCGCCACTGCACTCCAGCCTGGGGAAGAGAGCAAGACTCTGTCTCCAAAAAACAAAAAGTAATACTAGGATTTGCACAGTTCGCAGGAAGCAAATGTGTAAGGCTTGCAACCATGCAGAGGACAGCTCAAGGGCTGCTGGGTTGCAAAAGGTCCTTCTGATCTTGAACTGCCAGTAAAGAGCAACCAGGTCCAACCATATGCAACTTACTTTCCCAACTCCCCGCCTTTTTTCTTTCTTTTTTTTTTTTTTTTAAAGACACAAGGTCTCACTTTGTCACCTAGAATGGAGTACAGTGACACGATCATGGCTCACTGCAGTCTTAAACTCTTGAGTTTAAGAGATCCTCCTGCTTCAGCCTCCAAGCAGCTGGGACTACAGGCATGCACCAACACACAGGGCTAATTTTTGTATTTTTATAGAGATGGAGTCCTTGTTGCCCAGGCTGGCCCCAAACTCCTGGACTCAAGCAATCCTCCTGCCTTGGCCTCCCAAAGTATTGGAATTACAGGTATGAGCCATTGTGCCCAGCCACTCCACCCTTTTTCTTTCTTTTTTTGAGATGGAGTCTTACTCTGTCACCTAGGCTGGAGTGCAATGTCGTGATCTCAGCTCACTGTAACCTCTCAAGCGATTCTCCTGCCCCAGTCTCCCGAGCACCTGGGATTAGAGGCACCTGCCATCATGCACTGCTAATTTTTGTATATTTAGTACACATGGCATTTCGCCATGTCGACCAGTCTAGTCTTGAACTCGTAACCTCAAGTGATCTACTCGCCTTGGCCTCCCAAAGTGCTGGGATTACAGGTGTGAGCCACCACACCTGGCCAACCCTACCAATTTTTAAAAACAGTTTCACTAAGGTGTTACATAATAAACTGTATATATTTTAAGTGTACAGTTTGAGTGACCTATGTGCATATCTGCAAAATCATCACAACAATCAAGATAACATATCCATCACCCTCCCGTGCCTCCTTGCCCATCCATGCCCAGGCAATTACTGATCTGCATTCTGTGACTATTACATGAATCTGCATCTATTATATTATTACATGATGCATTATATAAATGGAATCATACAGTATATATTACTTTTGCTTGGCTTCTTTCACTTAGCATAATTATTTAAAAATTCATCCACATTGCACTGTGTAGCAACAGTTCATTCTATTTCTTTGTTGAGTAATAGTTTATCCATTTACCTGTTGATGAACAGTTAAGACTGTTTCTAGTTTGGGGTTATTTCAAATAAAGTTCCTCTGAACATTCACAAACATTCATTCTGGGCTTTGCGTGGACGTATGCTTTTTGCTTCTTTCGGTAAAGAACTAGAGGTGAAATACCTAGATCACATGTTTAACTTTTCATGAAACTGCCAAACTGTTTTCCAAAATGATTGTACCACTTTACATTCTCACTAGCAGTATATGAGAGTTCTAGTTCCTCCACATCTTCATCAACTTTTAATATGCTCACTCTTTTTAAGCAATCTTTCTTTTTTTTTTTTTTTTTTTTGACAGTCTCCCTCTGTTGCCCAGGCTGCAGTGCAGTGGCACCATCTGGGCTAACTGAAACTTCCATCTCCTGGGTTCAAGCGATCCTCTTGCCTCAGCCTCCCGAGTAGCTGGGATTACAGGTGCATGCCACCATGTCTGGCTAATTTTTATATTTTTATTTTTAGTAGAGATGGGGTTTCACCAAGTTGACAAGGCTGGCCTCAAACTCTGGACCTCAGGTGATCCACACACCTTGACCTCCCAAAGTGCTGGGGTTACAGGCACAAGCCACTGTGCCCGGCCAACTTAAGCATTCTAAAAGGTGGGTAGTGGTATATCACTGTTTTTCATGTTCATGCTGGAAATGTGCATTTCCCTAACAGTAATGTTCCAGATGTTTATCATTTGTGTTTCTTCTTTGCAGTGGCCAGATCTTTCGCTTTTTTCTTTGTTGTGTTATCTTCCTATTATTAAAATTTTAGAGCTCTTTTATACACTCTGGATACAAGTCTTTATCAGATACGTGATGATTTGCAAATATTTTTCTGTTTGTGGTTTGTCTTCTCATTCTTTAACAGTGCCTTTCTACGGTCACCAAAACAGAAGTTTTACAAATTTTGATGAAGGCCAACTTATCCATTTATTCTTTTATGGATGAATACTTTTGATATTGTATCTAAGCAATCTTTGCCTGACCCCTGGTCATAAAAATTTCACATCAGGATAAGGAGGGGAGGATCACTTGAACCCAAGAGTTCAAGACTAGCCTGGGCAACACAGTGAGATCCCATCTCTACAAAATAAAATAAAATAAAAAAGATTCCACATCAAGGCACAGTGGTGTAAGCCTGTAGTCTCAGCTGCTCAGGAGGTTGAGGTGGGCAGATCACCTTAGCCCAGTAGTTTAAACCAGCCTGGACAACATAGAAAGACACTGTCTTTAAAAAAGAAAAAAAAAAAAAAAGATTTCACGTAATACCTCAACATCTTGACTACTGTGGATTTACAAGTCTTAAAATCAGGTAGTGTTAATCCTCCAACTGTGTTCATCTTTTTTCAAGGTTGTTTTGGCTAGCCTGGTCTTTTTGAATTCCCATATAAACTACAGAATTAGTCAACTTCTTTGTCCCTAATCTAGGAGTCCAAAAAAAAAAAAAAAAAAAAACAGCCTGGGCAATATAGTAACACCCTGCCTCTACAAAAAAAAAAAAAAATTTTTTTAAGTAAAATTAGGCAATGGTGGCATGTGCCTGTAATCCCAGCACTTTGGGAGGCTAAGGGGAATGGATCGCTCGAGGTCAGGAGTTGAAGACCAGTCTGGGTAACATAGTAAGACCTCATCTCTACAAAAATATATAAAATTTAGCTGGGCATGGTAGCTTGCACCTGTAGTCCCAGCTAGTCAGGAGGCTGAGGTGGGAGGACTGCTTGAGCCTGAGAGGTCAAGGCTAGAGTGAGCTATGATCATGCTATGCACTCTAGCCTGGGTGACAGAGCAAGATCCCATCTCAATAATCATAATAGGCCAGATGCAGTGGTTCACACCTCTCTAATCCTTGCACTTTGGGAGGCTAAGGCAGGCTGATCACCTGAGCTCAAGAGTTTGAGACCACCCTGGGAAACATGGTGAAACCCTGTCTCTACTAAAGTACAACAAATTAGCTGGGCGTGGTGGCATGTGCCTGTAGTCCCAGCTACTTGGGAGGCTGAGGCATGAGAATCGCTTGAGCCCGGGAGGCGAAGCCTGCAGTGAGCTGAGACTCCACCACTGCACTCCAGCTTGGGCTACAGCGTGAGACTCCGTCTCAAAAAATAATAATAATAAACATAATTACTCAATTTCTACTTAGAAAAAAAGAAAGCCTGCTGGGATTTTATTGAAATGGTGTCAATCTATTCGGGAGACATCTTAAAAACCAATGAACATGGTATATCCCTCAGTTTATTTTGATCTTCTTTAATTTCTCTTAGTAATGTTTTGTGGCTTTCAGTATACAGACCTGATACACCTTTTGTTAGATTTATCACTAAGTCTTTCATATTTCTGATGTTGTTGTAAATGAAGTTGCCTTTTAATCTCAATTTCCAATTGTTTGGTGTTAGTATACAGAAATACAACTTATTTTTATACATTAGCTTTCTTATTCTTTTC